CGGGACTGCTAGGTCTTCGGGCCAGTCACCTGTGTCTGCCTTTCCCTGCTTGATGGCAAAAGTGGCGAATGCCAGCATGGCAGATGATAAGATTAGCAAGTCAGGCCTTGTAACGACTGTGATATGCCTATGAGCATGCCGTGTCGCTTGTCATGGGGTACGCGAGAGTAACACACCACGAAATACAGAGAAGAGTCTCCTTTCTTTCCATTGCGTATCTCTAGATCAGTGTGGCGCCAGCGTTATCGTGGAATGACCCCAGACTTGGGGAAGCTTGCCAGAGACGTTACATCCAGGGGGGCTCACGAAAGAGCACGCAGCACATGTCAAGGAACCCTTGCGCGGCCACGAGCATGGTATTCTGTAGACGCAATGTGACACCGACCCGACAGCTGTCGGTCCTCGCCTTAATACTTCCATCTAGGTACGGGGAGCATTATTGCTTCCCCAAAGTCTTTTACCCGAGGCTTCGCTGCAATGGCCTGCCCTTCCCCACACCGACGGTGACGCGGGGTAGAAACTGCGGGATCACGCCGAGGGCCAAGCAAGCCAAGCATGAGCTAAAGTGGTGCGTCTGACGCCGCCATGCCGGAATTTTCACTCACTGCGCGTTCTTTTTCCCCTTTGCAAGGTCGTGCCGCTCTTCCATAAGCCCTCCACAGCTGTGTGCTTCTCAACGCAATGTCTAGTCACACATTCTCTCGACACGCGTCCTTACATTTATTTGCGGGGTTGCAAAGACCTTAGCATGAGCAGCTGCGCCGAGCTGTGAGCATGCTTTCTGCGCAGTATGAGGCAAGACGAGATCACAACATACAGGTAACAGAACATCAAGGCATCGCTCTTGGTCTAAGCCGGGAGCTGCTCCCGCGGCCCGAAAAGCTGAGAAGCTAAATCCAGCAGAGATGAGGCGTTTTTCGACTATCCGGACCTGCATGGTGGCGGCCGCTCTGCCTACCAGTACCGGGCCTAATACCGCCATGCATCAAATTTGCAGACCGGTCTTCCCATTCTTCCCTAGCAGTGAAAACTCTGCAGATGAGCTTTTGTCATAGTCATGCCGGGCCTCCTAACGTGTTTGGGCATTTCCCTAAACTCGATGTCATCCGAGTCGGAACCATCATGTCTACTCCAAGCAACTTATCACTTCCAACCACTTTGCCTGTATTCAGTGTGATTTCAGTGTGATTTCCTCAATGACCGCGTTATTCTGCGTGGCGTTAGCATCTCCTACTCACATAACGGGTGAGATGAGTTTGTATGTTGAGTCTGGCAGCGTCATGTCCAACCATGGCGAACACGAGCTGAGCTTAACTTTTTGAACTCTCTATCCTACTCTGGGGTTTCCTGACTTTTCTCTGGCCTTAGCCACTGGTCTCCGGATCTTGTTGCATTAGACCAGGATCCACCCGATGTTGCGCCGCCCGTCTGCACCACATCCTATTCTAAGCCGGTGACAGTACCTTAGCGTACAACAACCCGAAGCTTTGCAGACATTATTCGAACCTGCCGCCTAGGGACTTAGTGCTATTCAAACAGCCGTTCTCATCATAGACATGTAGGTGTATACCCACACTATGCCTGACCAAGTGAGTTGCTTCGCTTAACGAGCCTATGGGACATTGCAGCTCACCCAGACTCATGACTTAGATCTGTCACCAGCTCTTCAAGGTCAAGCTTGTCTTCTGGATCACACCTAGTACCTCAAGGACTTCCCACGAAACCTTCCCCATTAGTCCTGGGCACATGATCTTCTAGCTTGCTAACTGCCTACACCCTTGTTTATCGTCTATTATTCGATGTTGAGATTATCAGCACGCTATAATCGTTCGCTATAATAACCTTCGCCATGTTCCTTCTTGCTTTCGTCTCATGTAGACTTCATCTTATGTTCATCGTTTGTTTCTTGGAGTGCTTCGATAGGAGCTAGTGGTAATCCATTCGACTAAAACACGCCGTTTGGTACTGTCAGCGCTGGTCATGATGGGCTTCCAGACCGCTTTAGCTGGACTAGCCCTCTTTGGAGGTCTGGCTCTTGGAGATTCAACTTTCTCTCCTGCACGACCTCCTGCCATACCACTTGCTGTGAAGGGTCCATATCTTAACACGTGGTTGACCGCCGGCTCTAATGGCGGAAACGGTGGCTACCTAGCGGGCGAGGTAAGTAATTTCGAGCCACTTTCTGCCTATTCAAGAAACCATCGGGAGTTGGATCTGGTGTTATCTCGAGCAATGCTCCTCGATTCATATCTTAAAACTCCTGACGTCTAAATAACTTTGTACCAAACTTGCTCTGAAAAGCGATTACTGACGTAAGTTGTGGCAGTGGGCAACGTTCTGGCAAGGCCAGGTCACTGCATGGACAGGACTCATTCGTGTGGATGGGACAGCCTATCAATGGATGGGTGCTGCGGGAGGAGATGTGACGAACGTAGATCAGACCGAGTTCTCCTATACGTCGACGCAGAGCACATTCATTCTGGATGCCGGTGGTCTTGTGGAGTTGAACGTCACATTCCTTTCGCCGGTTACGCCGACGGATCTGAAGAGGCAATCTTTGCCATTCTCATATCTCGATGTCGGTGTCACTTCCCTTGATGGCGCAACCCACGATGTTCAATTATACACGGATATCTCGGGTGGTGAGTGGACTGCACCTTTGTTGACAGTTGGGTTTCTCTAACCTCAAATTAGAATGGGGGGCAGGCGACGTCTCTCAAACCATCGAATGGGAATACGATACCGTTGATGGGCTTGCGTATCATAAATACCATTTGCAGACAGAGACCCAGCTTTCAGAAATCAACCAGCAACCGAACTGGGGTGACGTTCTATACGCTACTGCTGACTCTGATGGGGTGAGATCTCTCGCCTTTGAAACGTGATTGCGATCAAGACAATCTGACACAGCGTGTAGCTCACATACCAAAACGGTGCCGACAGCGTCGTGCGAGGCGCCTTCATCAGCGATGGCGTTCTTCCCAATACTCAAGATACCAACTATAGAGCTGTCAATGACGACTGGTATGTCGCAATACGTCTCCATTTACTCGAACAGCAGCTAACACTCCACAAGGCCGGTGTTCGGGTTCGCTCAGGATCTTGGAAGCGTCGGTACCAGCTCGGTCAATACGCTGTTCACTATAGGTCTTGCTCAGGAAGTGACCAACTCACTCCTCGGGGCGGGCACTGATATCCAGAACTACGATGCCTACTGGACTGACTTCTTTGCGAGCGACGTTGATGCCGTAAGTGAAGACATGCATGATTCAACGCACAGCACATTAACATATACACTAGTTGAGCTTCTTCTACTCGGACTACAGCACGGCAGTCGGCCTCGCTACTGAGATGGACGCCAAAGTCCAGTCAGACTCCGTTGCAGCTGCTGGTCAGGACTACGCCACCATCACCACTCTGAGCTTGCGACAGGCTTTCGGTGCACTACAGCTTTCTGGAACCGAGGATAGCCCCATCTTGTTCCTCAAGGAAATCAGTTCAAACGGCGACATGCAGACCGTCGATGTCATCTTCCCAACTATCCCCGTACTTCTCTACACCAATCCCGAACTCCTGGCTCTTATCCTCGAGCCCTTGTTCTTGAACCAAGAAAATGGCCACTACCCCAAGACCAATGCTATTCACGACCTCGGCACATACCCCAATGCTCCCGGCTACCCAGATGGAAACGATGAACCACAGCCGCTCGAGGAGTGTGGAAACATGATCATAATGGCGCTCGCTTATGCGCAACGCACGGGCAACAACGATTATCTGAGCCAGCACTACGCGATCCTCGACCAATGGGCAGGTTATCTCGTCGACGAGGCGCTGATCCCCGCTGACCAGATCTCGACCGACGACTTCGCTGGCTCTCTGGCAAACCAGACCGATTTGGCCATCAAAGGCATCATAGGTTTGCGCGCAATGGCCGATATCGCCGACATCACTGGTAACAGCGACAACGCTACCTACTATCTGAACGTCTCACAGTCGTACCTCGCCCAATGGCAAGACCTCGGCATCAATTCGGCGGCCGATCCACCACACACCACCCTGAACTACAACAACGTCAGCTCTTGGGGTCTCCTCTACAACATGTACGCCGACACACTCCTCGGGTACGCCGGAAACGACTATGCTTTCGTACCGAAGGAGATCTACGATATGCAGAGCGATTTCTATGCTACCGTAGCCCTCGAGTACTGCGTCCCGCTGGACACTCGACACACCTACTCCAAGACTGACTGGTCGATGTGGGCTGCTTCCATCGCTGCCGACGACACGAAGACCCTGATGATTGAGAAGTTGGCCACTTGGATTAATGAGACGCCTAGTAATGTACCTTTCAGCGATTGGATAGACTGTAATACGGGCGAGGACCAAGGATTCCGGGCACGACCGGTGGTTGGTGGACACTTCGCCTTCCTTGCTTTGAACTCTTGAGAGCCTTGTCTCGGTTTCTTGTATATACTTAGCGTTTGGTAGAAATAGCACAGGATAGAAAGATGTTTCTTGCTGTTTGACATAACTGGAGAACCTTTTTGTCCCTGTGTTTTGGGTGCTGAATGTGAGCCTAAATCGGGTATGGCGTTAAGTAATCAGGGAAGTTGTTGTTCTTGTTCTAACATGTTCACAGGGTTCAAGATGTTCATGTGGCTATGTCGAAAAGCTTAATGACGACACACTGTCTGCATGGACCGAAGCCTCACTTCGCCCTTTCCCTTTTAATGTTCATTTTAGGGCAATTGAAAAGACGTTGAGAATGCGTGAGAGAAGTTACATCTACAAATCTTACCATCGTGTGTATCCGAGACCAGACAAAGCCCGCGCTTGCCAGTCAAGCAACTAAATATCTCTCCTACGGTAAGTACGCATAGAAGTCCGAATCACATCCCGAATAATCAACTCCATATCCGGACTCAGTCAACTGGGACCCCTCTAAATCCACAGGTGAACTGTATACATGTACAGCGATACCAGTGTCGCCGACATAACAAGTCCCGGTAGTCCAGTGGTCAGGATAGCTCAGCAGTCTCTCGACTCTTTATCACTGAATGATAAGGGGGACGTAGCTGCTGCGCGGGCCTGGGTTCGATTCCCAGCTGGGACAGCTTTTTGACCCTTTATTTCATCTTCTTTCTTCTTTTCTCGATTCTTGTTCTTGGCGTACGCTTTTTGTAAATGCAGATCATTCTCTCACAACACAGTAGAAGAACATTTCTGGCTGTCATGTGCAGGTAGAGGAACGCAACAAAGGAAGCGGAAAAGAAGCGGACGGTCGGAGTACCTGCCAGTGAATCCATTTGTACATCTCGCCTCACAAGATAATACTGCTTGGCTGTCTGCGGTACTGGCAGCAGCTCCAGGTCCAAGTCACAGCCGAGTTATCACTTTTCTTTTGTTAATACTCACCTCTCATACCCTAGTGAGAGACTTTACGATTCTCCCTTTCATCTGTTCACTTCGAACCAAAGTCCCTAGCATCCGATAATCACGTGCAACCCCTACCAAGCACCCGAAGAACAGCCGTGCCAACCGAGCTACATATACCAAAACATCAAGCTCATCGCTATCAATCAGTCTCGGTGGTCCAGTGGTAGGACAGCGCGGCGATGCTTGCCCGATGTTCACTAAATGAGCACACGGGAGCGTAAATGCTGCGCAGGCCCGGGTTCGAATCCCGGTCGAGGCAATATCGTTTTTCTATGACTTCTCATTGGTGATGTCGTTTCTCTTTTCTTGTGGTCAGTCACTCATTGATCTCTGGTGTACATTCGCTGACCTTGTTTTCATACGTGCACGATCATTACTACGATTGACCATCGCTTATCTCCTAAGGACATGTGCCTATGGCGCCCACACCAAGTATACCTTTATCCCAACAGTCAGACCTCAACACTCCTTACAAGTGCTCCAAGCAGGACAACACAGAACAGCCATATTTTCAAACATTTAACATGCATATGCTTCGATTAAACATTGAATCTTCAATCTTGTTGATATATGACAACACATGCACGGAATATCTATCCATTTGAGCTCAGTGATGATCCCGTTACAACAAGCTTCAATCTCATACGATATGTTGGCATACCGGCCGATAGACCACTAACAGCTGCATCGCCTATCTCAAGCTTTATGTACAGCAAGGAGGCTTCGATACAAGCTCATTACTATTCTTATCAACTTCACATAATGTCAAGCTGGTTCATATAAATGCCTAACGATTGATCACCCTCCCCTTCCTGTCAAAACCCCTCAAGATCTTACTCACCTTGTCTCATAGCTTCAAACCAATCATGTTATCTAGCTGAATACTTCAGGTAGCCTCGGCCTCATTGTCCTTGGGGCACATTGCCCCTGTCTTATTTGATTTTCTTCTTGCTCCTCTAGACCATCAACAGTCCTCGTGATAGGCTAGTCAGACACGACTTTCATCACTAACAACTCCGCCAGGTCAGACGAGGTAACATCGATATCTGCCAAACGTGGTCTCGGGAGTAAACCCTACATGTAGTATTGTGATTACCTGAGGAGACTACAAAACACTTAAATTGGTACCGGATGAAAACGAGTCGCATAATAAACAACGCGCATCATCGCTCCACTTCATAGCCTATCTCTACACTCTCCAAAACACAATCAATCTTCCCAATCTTACCAAAACGCCTAGCCGTACAACATCAAACCCAAAAGCCGTTGCTTCTCATCCTACCAAATTAAAAGCCGAACTAACACCCTCAAACGCCGTAATCTCGCCCCCAAGACTCTTCGCATGCCCATAATACTTCAAGCGATAAACCCCAGGCTCAGCCCAAGGATCCTTCGTCTCCCACGAGATCGAAACCTCGCTAGTCGCCAGCACCTCACTGATGCGACGCCATCGAAAAACAAGATGCCAATCGCTGTCATCTCTGACTGGTCGCCACTGCATAGCCTCAGACGTCGCATTACTAGCATCCTGGCCCGAACTCCCTACAAACTGCTCAACAACAGCGTATGATTTCCCAAGCTGGAGGTCGTTTCGCGGATTCGCGCCGACAAACTCAGCTGTGATCATATCGCCGATACGGTAGGAAGACTCCACGTCTTTCACGACATCACCAAACTTCTTGAAGAATGGCGGGGCGTCGCGTATCACTGAGGGTATGAAGCTGAGACTCCGGTTACTGTTGTCTGGAGGTTCAGTCCCACGCGGTGGCCGGACCGTAGCCGATGAGCTCAATGCTGGGATCCAGGAGAGTGTCACATTGATGTAGGCCGCCAACGTATGTGGACCATACAGTGTACTCGCCCCTTCGTACCGCTGAATGCTGTGATACTCTATCAGTACATTTTTACGAACAGTGACATCACGCGAATTAGGCCAAGCTTACCCGTATTCTTCTTCCGTAGTGATATAGTGGGTGTAACTGTTCGCCGGTCCACCTAGCACGACAACAGGGGCCGCGTCGGTCTCGCCCTTGAACTCGGTATGGACTTCTTCTGCGACTGCATTCTTCCAACGGCGACCCGCCATCGTCGTAGCCTCACCTGGACTGACGACGATGACGAGCTGTCCAACTCGGAGCACCTGTACATCAACGACATTGGGAGTCCATTGGTAAGGAGTGAACATCTCGCCCACGTCAAGGAGGATGGGTTTCGGGTCGTGGCATCTTATTTGTTCCTCAGTCGGTGCCTTGATCAGACCGGACACGACTCGCCACACTGGGGACGTTGTTTCCGAGTCGTTGTTATGCTGAGTGAAGTCGAATGCTCCAGGCCCATCGGACGTACCAGCAGCAAAGGAGTAGCCCAGCGCCGCAGGGCAAGTTGTGACCTCCGTCCCATTCGGAAGTTCAAATTGGTAGTTGGACATATTGTGAAAAGTGTGGAATGATTTCACCCAACTCCCCTTCACCGGCATCGGAGAATCCTTCATTTCATCGTATAGCTTCTTCGCGGGTTCAAACTGGCGTTTTCCGATCTCCAAACAAGACGAGGTTCCTTCATCGTCAGCCCTGAAGAACGGTCCCCGGGCATGGCACATTTGAGACCTGCCATCACTGCACGTGCTATTCTCAAAGCTGCACATCTGTCCCGTCCCATCTTCACACCAAGCACCCAGAACGTTGGGACTTGTATCGCCGACATTGGCTTGCGAGAATCCAGCAACGAATCCTTCTGCGGCACTGTCATCGTCAACAACGCTCTTTTCGAAGAGATAAGCTGCGACGCCTTTGTTGTCTCCCGAAACCAGCGTATTGTTGCCGAGCACGGATGTTCCGTGAGTAGGAAACCAGGTCAGAACACCGATATTCTTGCCGTCCGAAGATCTCTGGAACTTGAGCAAAGTCAAGTCCTTCTCTACTGACCCATCGTCATCGGTGCTCGCATTATGTCTCGCTCGTTCCTCTTCGGGGTTCGCGAGGTATGCAAAAAGACTTCGGTTAATGTTCGCGCCGAAAACCTTAGTCGTGCCGATGCTAAGACGACCCGGCTCTAGGCTTTCGTGAGCCTGCATGATCGATGACACGGCACCGCTCACAATCGCCTCATAGCTCTGGTGACTAAAGCCCTTGCTGGTGATCTGCGGCAGCAGATAATTCAGCCATGCGCCAGGACCCGAGTGCGAGTGAGTCCCGGTCACGGCAAGGTTATGATGACCATAGTCGGCATACCCAGGTCCCAGCTCTTGAAGCCCTTTCAAGATGCCGTACCGTACAGCAGTATCGCCTGACTGAGTGTCCAGAACAAGATATATGAATCGATCTTCGGGGTGCGAAGGATGGGCTACGACGAATGCACGAGAGTGCAGTCGTTGGCGTAGACCAGTACCGATCTGATTGGGGTCGGCATAGCCCATCAAGTTGAGCTCTACAACAGGTCTGAGAAGGTCGTCAGCACACTGATCGGCCGACTGTCAGGGCGACATGATTTGGAACACACCCAGTAATATCCGCCTTCCCTACACCGATTAGGTACTCATCGCCATCAATTGACGTAGTATCCCAAGCTGATATCGATCCATCGCCTATCCAGTATCGATCTTTATTCATGAAAACAAGAGCTACGTAGAAGAAAATGATGAGGCTCATCATGTTCACAGCTATCGTGAAGCACTGCGCAGCAGACCGTAACGTGTGATTCCGAATCCCAGCGCGGGGACGCTCTGAGAGTGATGGTGGCAAAAACGAGCGACCAGCCTCGTCTTTGCCGGATAGATCGGGAACTCTTTCTTTGGACAAGTCCATCCTGAAAAAGCAGTTGATACCAAGCAGAATATGGTAAGTTTCAAGAAGGGACAACAAGAAAACGCCTTGGTTGTCCAGATGCTCCGAAGTTAACGACGGAAACAATCCTTCAGATCCTCAAATTTCCACTGGCACCAACGAACGAATGCTCCAAAATAAACCAAAGCAAAGAAAGCTCTGTAATATAAATCCTGCTTGAGACGTCCAATAAATCCTCTTGGTCGAGGAGGCTTGTCAACCAGCACCATGATTAAAGAGTCATAGCACTCTGATTAGACTGCACTTGAAAGTTGAAGCCACGGACAGCAACAGGCAGGCCATCGCAGCGCGTCATATACTCATGATTACGTCACATTGTAACACTACAGCATCCATCTCAAAGTATTCGCCTAGGCGGTATTCGAAATGATGGCGCTGCCACTTAATCACAGCACGAAATACAACGGGTGAGATTGCTGCTATGCTCTCAATTCTTTTCGAAGCTTGGATTCAATTCTAGATAGCTCTTCGTTTCCAGAAGTTAGGTACCTAAGTGGTCTGTTTCTGCACAGTGCGGATCAATGTGATAGTATGTCACACTAATACCTAGTAGCCTGCATTAGCGTCGGAACCCCCTCCTGGGAGACGGTCACGGTGACTTGTTTCCTGTAAAAAACTAATTTTTGCGTCCGAAAATGATTCTCCTTCGTTGATCGTCCCTTGCACATCTTTGCATAGAAATTGGAACGGGTTGGGAAATGATTTTTACGCTTCGAGACGATCACGAAATGCAAAAACGATCACGGTGACGATTTTTTTTTTGAAAAACGATCACCGCACTGTGGTCAGGAATGGCAAAGAGAATATCGCTGTACCGCATATACAGGTATTTTTGTACTGTACATGCGGTACATTTATTTGTACGTCACCACGTTACGCCGGTACACTATGCGAGTCACAATTGAAAACTTAGTCACATGTGGGATTCGAACAGCAGGTCTACGGGTCACTGGATATTACGGTATTACGGAATCACACATCAATTCATTCACTTAGCTAAAACACATGTCACGCGTACGGGTGGAATGGTTATGACGACCCATATACCATCGGTGGTGCATTCGAAGTAGGTACGGAGGCATATACGGCAGGCACGCCGGAGGGCGTCACAGCCTGATTTTTGGTGGTGAAAATGGTTGCTACCCGGGAATTGATTTTTTTTCAAAAAGTGATCACGGGCAAGAAAACGATCACGGGTCAAAAAAGTGATTTTTTACGAAAAGAAGCCGCTTTGCGATTCGAACCCGTCACCTCGACGGAATTGATATTAAGCAATTGTGACTATATTCGCTGTATGACAGTCACGGTGACGGTTTTTTCTGGATACAACCATCTTGGTGAGCAAAAGTCATTTTTGAAGCCGTCACCAGTCACGGTGATCGTCACCCACGAGGGGGTCCCGGCGCTAATGTGCCCC